AACATCTATCAAATAAGATCCAATGTTGAGTATAAAATTCTTTAAAAAAAAATTTAACCATCCGAATTAATTGTAAACAATAACATGTTTTACTGAAAATCAAAAAACACTTTTACTATCTTCCTTAAAAGAGGCATCAATACAAAAAAAAAAAACAGAGTATACACCTGAAGGAAGCTTTGCAAGTTCCTTCACTATAAATTTACAAACAACTCAATAATAATTCAACATATCTCAAGGAAACTTTACAAACATTAATCAACAAGCCGAACAAATTTCGTCCAATCCCACCAAATCCTTCAGCAAAACTTTGCTTAATCACACTAGGTTTCCACACCCACCACTATTTTCATCAAAGCCCAACCAAGACCCAAATCTAGACCTACTTTCACTGCAATGATCAGCAAAAATTCACATTATCTAGAAAAGAGTAGTGCTGATGTAGTTCAAAAATTAGACTTATTTTTTTGATATAATAATGTGCAATTTTATTATGATATTTATTTCACTTTTTTATGTGTATTCATATAAGAGTTTAGATTTGCTAAAATTAAAGATGTGAATTTTACGAAAAAATTGAACCATTATTAGATTAATTTGGACTCACTTCGGTAATGTAAACCGTTCATGTTATACAACTAATTAAAAAAATTATCTATGTAAAAAATCAAGTTGATCCAATATTAATTTTCATACTATTAGATCATACTTAAAAATTATGTTATATATGTTTTGATGAATAAACAATTCATATATAGTATATTTTTAATATGATTATTTATGTCTGATCAATCTAATTTTTTATATACATATTCTTCTCAATTTATCATATGAATTAAACAATTCAAATAAATGATATAAGTACATATTAATCCGTCAATGCATAATTTCACCATACAATGAAGTGAACATGTTAAACTTTTAACCAATCCAAGTTTCATATGAGAGTACTCTTTTTAAAGAAGAAACACAATCTACAATACATAATCGCATAGAGAAGAAACTAAAAAAGAAGAACATGAATGGGTACCCCTCTCTCTCTCTCTATAGCTGATTCAGTTGAAGCTACACGTCTAACTTTTCTTATGGTTATTCTGATTAGTGGAGTGACTTTGTTCTTATAACTTTCTTTCTGTGTATTATTATTATTATGTTTGTTTGTTTGTTTGTTTGTTTGTTTGTTATTTCAGGCAAGATAAAGAAGAACGAAAAAAGAAGATAAAAGAAATTTTGAAGAGTGGACTGGACGACCTGGTTAACGTGAATTCACTGTTGAGCATAGCGGTATTCGTGGGACTAACGTACGCGACGCCAGGCCAACGCAGCCTGGAGAACCGACCAGAGTGCGACGCCGAGCCCCACCAGGCCAAAAACCTCGTGGTACTAGAAGTCGTAGCGTTCAGTTTCTTCCTCTTCTCAAGCCTCGTTGCGAAGTCATTGAAGGTTAATTTCCAAATTTACGACAATGGAAACTTTGAGATCGATGAAGAGACAGGACATGGACGTCTGACGTGGTGGAAATGGGTGTTCCTCAGCTTGTCCGTGTTTGCGTCGTTCTTGGGTTGCTTTTTCTTAATGCTTTCAATGTTTTATCTGATTCAGATAAGGTTGGGAAGGCTGTCTTGCAAGAGCCCATACACACAAGGAGCAACTCTATTGATGGTTGCTATTGTTTGTGTTGGTATGCTCATCTATCTACCTCTAGTCTTCGCTGCTCTACATAAGACTTTGAATTTGAATTTTAGTGATACTACTGCTACTGCTACTACTAGTACACCACCTTCAGGAGAAGGACAACAACAAAGCTAGGCTGGCTGGGTGGGCTACTAGTAGTACCCAAATAGTTTGTTAGGCCTTGTTGTCTATGTTGATGGAAAGAGTACTGTACTGTTTGTGTCTGCGTTTTGTTTGTATATAAAAGAATAAATGTTGAGAGTTCTAATTTTAAAATTGTGAAGAAAGCTTTAGTGATGTGATGATGAGTGGGGCCCACATGTGATGCAATGTGTGCCTATGTTTTTTTTTTTTTTTTTTTTTTTTTACCACATCATTAGAGCTCATATTAGAGCTGTAATTTTAGAACTCTCTACAACACCCAATTGCATATACTATGGCTCTACTGTAAGGTATGCATTTTAATTTAGTGTAATATGAAGGAGGAGCACTAGTATGTACTCAAAATAAATCTAATTAATGTATTTTAATTTTCGAAATGCATTTTTTTTTTTCATTGCGTATTGCCTAATATGTTCCTCCAGTTCCTTTGGTTGCATTGCATGCATGGGTGTAAATGTGAATGAACACCATTCGCTGAAGGCAACCTGGGGAGATTCTCCAGTTCGGATGTGCACTGCAGTTTGGGGAGATTCTCAATATTTTTATGCTAGGAGACTATTAATATGTTATTTCATATTTAATTTTTAACAGGAATTAATTTTAAGAATAAAGTGAAAAAATTTTAAAATATGAAGTGTCAAAATAAAAAAAATAACCAAATATAAAAGGGCAAAGTGTAATTTACCCTTTTAATTAAAGAAAGAGAGTGTTTTGTTGAGACATATTATCTATGAAACAAGATAGTTAGTAGAAAATTATTGGGTGTTTTCCAAAGACTTGTGAGAGCATTCCTATCAGATCCCTTATAATAATTTTTTGCTATTATAAGGGATTGATTCTTTAAAAATTCTTCCCTATCAAATCTCTTATATAACCCCTTAAATTTAGGAATGCTACAGTTACTCCCTATTTGTAGGGAGTCACTATAGCTCCCTCATATCTGATAGTGATTGTCCATCCGGATATCCAGATAAAATGATCTGAGCAAAAATTGCTTCGTTTGTCCATCCGGATGTCCAGATAAAATGATCTGAGCAAAAATTACTTCGTCGTTCGTCCACCTAGACGTCCGGCTGGTCATGCTCTTGGACGTCCGATCCCTGGTTTCTGCTTCTGCTGTTTTCTTTTGTAAATGGAGTTGCCTTTGAGCCTCTATTATTGATTTTATTTTATATTGTTTAATTATTTTATTATTAAAAAAATATTCAAATTCAAAAATAATTAAAAAGATTATTTTGATAGAATAGAAAAGGAATGGAGAGTTTGTTGGGAAAGGTAGATGAGAAAGTAATTCTTAAAATAGGAAATGAATTTTTTAATAATATTTTAGAATAAAATTTAAGTAAACTCATAGGGATGCTCTAAAGTAACAAAATTAAATACAAAATAAAAAAATAGTAAGTGCTGTTTTAGAAAATTGGTAAAAAATTAACTTTTTGATTTTTTAAACTTTTCTGATGGTTTTTTTGACAAAAAAGCTAACTTCTTTGGTTAAAAAAATTGACTTTTTTATTAAAAAAGTTAAAAAATTAAAAAACTGACTTTTTTAACCTCTTCTCAAAATTTCCCTAAATATATATATATATATATATATATATGTTTTACTATTTTAACAATTTTCAAATAGAATAGATCCTGTTAAAAGAAGTAATTAAAAACAACAAAATATTTTTGCCTTTCCAAAACGGTGGTTTGTGTGTGGGTGCGCGTGTGTTTGCTACGGGTGGGCCATGAGAGGAAAGTAGTGACGTCAGAGCTTACACATTAATTTTACAGGTGAAATGTCATCGGCGACCAGCTGGATTTTGTCTTATAACAATTTTTTATCATTATTTTAAATCAGAGATATAAGATATATTTTTTAACGTCACAATCAAATTCAAATACTATTCATTTTCAACGGGCATTTACAAAGCTTAAAAATCACATGCAAATGTTACTCGGATTTAAAAATATATATATAAATAAAGGCTTAAAAATATATATATAAATAAAAATAATGTATAATTCAAAATTTTAATTTTTATGTAATAGCCTTATATTTAAAATAAATTTAAATCATTAATTATTTTTCTTAGTATTTTTTTGTGTCTCAAGTCTTGGCACTCTTATTAAAAATGTATATTAAAAACACAATCAATTATAAAAAATTTATTGACAGATTAAAATTTTTCTTTCAATTCTTCTAGAAAAAAAAAAGGCAGAACTAGACAAAACCATATAATTGCTATGGGAGCATGATGTGAGCCGCTTTAAAAATGTATATTAAAAACACAATCAATTATAAAAAATTTATTGACAGATTAAAATTTTTATTTCAATTGTTCTAGAAAAACAAAAGCCAGAACTAGACAAAACCATATAATTGCTATGGGAGCATGATGTGAGAGCCGGTTGTACCATGTTATTAGTTTTTGTAAATAATTATAGGCTTTTAAAATTTATTTTAAAGGGTTGGTTAGGAAAGCCATTTTTTAGTAATTTTTTTAATTTTTTAATTTAAATATGAAATAAAAAAAAAAATTTGAAGTGTTGATAAATGATTTTTTAACTTCTTTTAAAAAAAAAATTGTAAACAGTAAAGAAGGGCATGAGTTTTTTATATGATTTTTTTGAATTTTTTAAAACTTTTTTGACTAAAATTCAATCTTCCAAACAAAACCTAAATGTGAACTCTACAGTTTAATGCTCATCCTTCATATTTTTTGTGAACTAGTAATACATTTTGCGTCAAGAAATGTTATATGCCAGCAATTTTTTCATAGTTTTATATCACAAACGTGTTGCATACAACAATTATCTTCAAATCTTGATCATTTTCACTCCATCTATATAATAAAAAATTTTCATTACGTATTTAATGGCTATGAAATTATTAAATATGAATATAAATTTATAATTATTCTAAATTAAAAAATATTATTATTAGACTCACCGTTAAATAATGTAATGAAACTCTCAATTAGAAATACATAATAGAGAGAATATCTATTATTTATGTTGTACATATCTAGTGTTGCCCTTAAATACAAGAGATATGCATCTTATACAACTTGACAGCTAAGAACAAACAAAATGCCAAACCAACCGATCAATCATATGGATAGGTAAAGCTTAATTTCTCGGCAATATTTATGAAATGACTGTCTTATTAATTGCTTTGATTTGTTTTTTTGTCTCGGATAATTCAGGACATTTGAAGTTTCGACAGAGGATTACAACAAAGCAGTGGATGATCTAGTAAACGTGAACAAACTGTTCACCCTAGCAGTGTTCCTGGGTTTAGCCCTGGCAACGGGTCAGCAGCGAAGCCTGGAGAATCGGGCAGAGTGCGACGCAGGAACATTAGTGACGGAGAGGCTAATTGTGTTCGAGGTACTGTCCTTCAGTTGCTTCCTTTCATCGACCGTTGTGGCCATGGCAGTCAAGCTTCATCTCAACATTTACGGTGGTGGTTGGAAATTGAAACACAAGATTAGGGAAATGATGGTGTTTGTAGCAGGGTTGGCCACGTTTTTTGCTTATTTTTTCTTGATGCTTTCGATGGTTGATATCATCCAGATTCGGTTGGGGAAACTGTCGTGCAAGGGTTCCAAGTCTCTCGGAGCAGCCGTGTCCGTGATTTCTATTGTTTCTTCTGCTCTGGTCGTCTTTATGTTTCTCATGTTGCCTCCTTTATACACAGCCATCTCCCATATTAAAAGCTAGAAGCAGAGCAATATAGCTACAACTAGAATAGAACCTCCAATATATATATACATATATATTTAATAAGTTGTCAAAATAAATATTAAAAAACGTTTGGATTCATTCTAGCCAGCTATGTTTGGATCCATGCGAGACCTAATTCTATATGCAATTAGAGATGGATGCAAAGTCCAAGAGGTGGGAGACCATGGGAGACAAGGGTGATGGGGGTGATATAGATGGATTGAAAATGGTTGCCCACTTTAAGGAAGAAAACAAACTCTCTTTTGACAAAGGTGGCAAAGAGATGATAATGGAGGATCATACAGGGCTGAGGGAGGGTCTATCTAATAAGAACTATTTGAATTGGGCATGACTCACACGCTTTCATCAAAAATTCTACAAATTATCCTGTTTTTCCAAGTTGTTTGAAATATTGTGTCCTAGCAGGAACATGCATGTGTGTATCCTTCGGAGTGACGCACCTCGACTAATCTCGGGACCCTGAGCCGATCGACCGGGCAAAGACGCAGTGGCCCGCCAATAGTTAGCTGGGGGTGGGATTCGAACCTGAGACCTAGAGAGGAGCAAACCCCTAAGTCCCTGGTCCCTTGCCCTCAACCAACTGGGCTACCCTTGCGGGTTAACATGCATGTGTATATATATGTTGTATATATGTTATTGTAGTGAAAAATGATATATAAATCCACGTAGACTCATTTTCTAAATTTAATGATGTGTAAATAATATGATTGGGTGATGATTGAGAATATATGAGAGAGAATGTTAATTTAATATCCTAATTGAATATCATTGGGTTTGAAAATTTGGTCTAATTTTTGAATTTGTATAGCAATACCCTTGTAATTGTGTGTATGCCCATGGTCTTTTCCAATTGCGAATACTCACTGGAGTGTACTATATTGGACCTCCATGGGCTCACCACGAAGCCTGTATTGTTAATTCAAATTGTTCATTGTGTACATCGAGTATTATATTCTTGTAAAAATTACGTTGATCAGATATCAGTAGGTAATTGATCAGATCATATTTGTGTTAATAATTTATTTTAAAAATCATATTTACCATTAACATAAATGTGATTTGACCAAGTGGTTACGGATAGCCAATCATGTGAGTTTTTGCAAAAATAAAATACTCGACGAGTTCTATATATTAAATGATTTGGATTATCAATGTGGGCTCTGTAATAAACCCATGGAGGCCCAACAATACCCTCCTAGTCCAAATCGAGAAGCCTCTTCTATATCTTATACATATGTGTATATATATATTTTTTCAATCGATATATATTGAAGTTGGTTGATTTGCCACCGAAATTTGTTCAACTTTTAAAGTCTTGTAAATATGTATATAGTAATAGGAATGATGTACAGATAAAAAACGGAAAATGCTATGCATATGTTGTGCACCTTATCAAAAAAAGGTGTAATTTTATCATAAAATCGTGTAATTTTAACACAAAATACATAATCATATTATAAATTGGCATAAAAAAAATGCCGTAATCAAGTTACAAACTTTTGCAACATTAATTATAAATTTTAGAACATTTTGCTACATCAATTTATGACCAAATTATTCATTTTATGATTGATACTAAAAAATTTACATAAATACCAACTATAGAGACATTTTGAAAAAATTCAAAATTTGAGATATATCCTTCACAGTATAGATAGATAGATATCACATGGGTCCAATCCAAATGAGCATAAAAGTTGGGCAGTGTATCATAATCGTGCATGAGAGTAAACCTCACCTTCCTGGCCCGAGCCCATCGAGCTTCTGCTCAGGCCTAGGCCTCAGAATGTCCAAGCCCCGTCCTAAAAATAGGAATTGGGCTTAGGTAGAAGGATAGGGCATCTGGGCTGGCTAGATGGACTTTTCAAGGCATGACCCATATTTATCTCATGTATCTTGAATAATATATGTTATTTTCTTTTTTGTGTACATATATATATATATATTTAGAAGAAAAAAAAAAAAGATTAAAATAAAAAAACTGAGTAGCACACCAACTTTTTTTTTTCACAAGAAATATGCATAAAATTTAATAGCATAATCATAGTTAATGTAGTTATGTATTTCAATAGATAAATTTAATTTTTTTATGATTCAACATCCAATTCTAATTATGTAATGCATTTGGATTTTTTTTATTATTATAATTTAATATTTTTTTCTAATTTATTTTATATATTAATATCCAAATTAGTTCCAGTCCAAAGGCTATAAACTATATTTTTTAGCCCATGATCAGAGTCTAGACTTTAGAAATATGGCATGAATCGGCCCAAGTCAATGTCAATGACTTTCAATGACCGGATAAAAATTTTAGGGCTCAAAATTTGAATTTTATCCTTAAAAGTAAAAATTTTGTTATAAAAAATATTAAAAAGCTAATTTCTGTCATCATTTAAGTTATCACTAAAAGGTCATGTCAAGTGGAAAAAGACTGTTAGTGATAAAATTATAAAAATATGGCTAATAAAACAATGGCCAACAAAGAAAAAAATTGGACGAAAATATTGATCGGAAAGAATTGCAATAATTCATCACCAAGAACAATGATATAAAAACAAAATTTTGATACACTATTTTTTACATAGTGATATGAATGAATGTAACAATTTATTTTAAAACAACAGCCACGAGATAATATTTATTTATCAAAATCACATTACCATATCATTCTTGTATTTTTTTTTTATTTTTTTTTTTGTATGAATAACATTTTCCTATTACTAAATGCCAAATTTCATTATTAAAAATATAATAATGATATTTTTTATAATTAAGATATTTTAAACGTTTATTTGTTGTAATAGTCTTTTGTTTATTTTGCCTGCAACTAGAAAAAATAGATACAAAAATTGAGAGCAAAGTCAGTGAGAACTAGGAGTGCTCGTAGTTGGAAAAATTTTAATTCGTCATTCGTCTGTCGGATTAGCAAATTGAAAAAAATCAATTCGTATTCGTCTGTCAAATTGGCAGATGCGGGTTGACGAATTGGCGGATGGATGCAAATCGTTTTGGCAATTTAAACTTTTACAAATTTTGAACATAATATAACTTGTCAATAATTTTTTTTCGGATAACAATCCAACTCAACATAACTAAAAAATTATGAAAGAAATTGTCAAATACCAATAATAAATACATATAAGAAAATCATGCATTATCAAAACTATTTCATTATTTTTTTATTCAAAAACTATTTAATTTGACTTTTTTTTTAAATGAAAAAATTAAGTATTATATTTTCTACACAAAAATACCAAATATTATCACTTGTCATCTGATAAAAGAATTTTCCAATTGAAAATAATTGAAAACACAACAGAATTTCTAAACTCTTTTTCAATTGAAAATACAAACAGAATATCTAAACAAATTGAAAACATAAAGTTTTACAAATTAGTACGGGTGCATGCGGTTTGGTGGTTTGAATGCGGCTAAAAGAACCTCAAATCTGTCATCCGTCCAAAACTAGGCGGATTAAGAAAAATCAATCTACAATCGTCCGCTTGTCATCACGTATCCGTTTAAAATACGACGGATTGGTTCGATCTCAGTCAATTTTAGTGGATTGAAATATCCGTTGAGCAATCATGTGGGGAGAGAGAGAGAGAGAGAAAAAAAAATGAGAACAAAGTCATTGATCAAAATAACCATTTGAACAAAGTAAAAAGAGATAGTGAGAGAAATACTCAGTCATTGATGTTTTTAAATCAAGAACTACTAAATATATTATTCCTTTATTTTATTTTTTCACTAGTTTATATTATTGTTTTACCGAACAAAATGTTTTTCATTTTTATTAATTTATTAATAATTATCTTCGAATAAAAAAATTAATTATAATTTTTTTATCTACACAGTAATACTTGGTGATTATAAAGAGAATAAATGATATATGTATAGCATTTCTTTTTTACATATAAGAGCATCTTCTATAGAGCTGCCAAATGAGCTGTCAAAGCTATAATTTGACAAGAATGAAAAAATGGGGTCTCCAATGGCATGCTATTCCTACTGTCAAATATAGCAAATGCCATTTCTACTGTCAAATTTGGCAGAAGTTTTGGCATTTGCTAAACATGCCACATCATCAAAGATTAACAGAATTTTGGCTCCAAATTTACAAATTCATCTGATTTTGTTCTTCATCACAAATTCACAAATTAAAAAACATATCTCATAACAATTTTTAGAGCAAATTTTCACAAATCTAATAACAATTTTCACAAATCTCATAACAATTTTTAAAACAAGTGAATCCAATTTTCACAAATCTCAACAAATTTTAGAACAAATTTCATTGAATAACAAATCTGAAACAAATTTACCTAGATTCACAAGATGCATGATGGATTTCAGATGATTTCAGCAATCTCAAGCTTTCGTCTTGTTCATCTTCTTCATTTGTTTTCTTTTTCTTAGAGTTTGTTTGTACTTCATTTTCATCTTCTCCATCAGAAAGATAATTAGGGTTTCTGGTTTCTCGGATGGATTGAAGATAAAGAGATCCAAACGGTTTAGGGTTTTAAGAGAGATAAAACAGAGGGAATAGAGAGAGGTAAGGACGATCTATGGAGAGAGAGATGGAGAAAGAGAGAGTAGAGATAAAAATGGAGATGGAAAGAGAGATAGAGGTATCTATGCGAGAGGCAGAGCAAGGTAGGGAAGATCGGGTGGAAAGAGAGATAAAGAGAGAGAGAGAGAGAGAGAGAGAGAGAGAGAGAGAGAGATGAAAATGAAGAGAGAGCAGAGATAGAGACAGAGAGAGAGAGAGAGTAGAGATGAAAATGGAGATGGAGAGAGAGATGCAGAGAAAGAGAGTAGAGATGAAAATGAAGATGGAGAGAGAGATGGAGGTTTCTGCGCGAGAGACAAAGCAAGGTAAGGATGATCGAGCGGAGAGAGAGATGAAAATGAAGAGAGTAAAGATGAAAATGGAGATAGAGACAGAGAGAGTAGAGATGAAACAGACACCGTTTGAGAGAGCCCTGCATTGAAATGTAAAAGGGAGAGAGAGAGAGAGAGAGAGAGCAAAAGAGAGCAAAAAATAGATGAAGATCCGGTGGCTGCATCTCAGCTGTAGACTAAGAAATCATCCAATGGTTTTGGATGGTGTCTTGGAATTGCACAACAGCTCTTTCTGTTCTGAAAAGAAAAAGAAAATTGTAAAAAAGAGACAACGTCTATAAACGGTCATATTTTTATGTTTCAATGACTATAAAAAAAAAATAGTTTTTTTTTTCCCTATAAGTACAAACCCTCAATCTCAATTTCATTTCACAGCAAGCCTCACACATTATTGCTTTCTTTTTCTCCTCCATTTTTCTCAATTTCATTTCACAACAAACCTCCCAAGTTATTTTTTTATTTATAGTTTCTTCACACAATTACTATGGAAAGTTCAACAAAAATAAAGAAAGAAAAATCATTCACATTGATGAAGATGTGGCACTTTGTAAAGCTTGGTGTCACATTTCTAAAGACCCCATTATTGGCAATTCGTAAACTTATGCTCACTTTTGAGGGAGAATTTATGAAAATTATTACTCACTTTAGAATGATCAGTCAAGAATACAAGTGTCTATCCAATCTCGATAGGGTATAATTATGAAATGTTCTAACAAATTTCGTGGATGTTTAGCGCAAATCGAAAATTTACACCCAAGTAAGTTGTCTCAAGTTGATATAGTAAGATTTTATTTTCATTTATTATGTTAGTTTTTTATTTCATGTTGTATAAAAATTAACTAATTAATTAATTTAATATTTTATTAATATAGATGCTTCAAGCAAAACTTTTATATCATCAAGATGAAAACAAACATTTTACTTTTGAACATTGTTGGCCAAATCTTGCAAAACAATATTAGGTGGCAAGATATAGCTCCTACGAACACAGTGAAGTCAAGGATACATACACCGTTTTTCCCTCATTCAACCCCCGAATTCCCTGTGGATAACTACATTTCTCTTGAAGACAACAACAGTCCAAATGTTGGTAATAATCCAATCGGTGAGGATAGTGCCTCTGCAAAGGTAAAAGGTCTATAGATAGAAAATCTGCAAAAGAATTCTGTTTAAGCTGAAGTCCACAAATATAACAATTTGTTGGAGACATTTAACCAACACCTTATTGAGAAGGAAATGAAAAAAGCTGAAAAAAATTATTCAAGCATTGTAGGAGATGAAAGAACTAGAGATTTAAAAGGAAGAACATTTGCAGGAGATGAGAAAACTTCAAATTAAAAAGGAAGAATGTTTGATAATGATTATGGACATTTTTCATTTGGACTCTCAGACAAAAGCGTATTACATAATGCACAAAAATGAGATTTTCGCCAAATGATCGGCACATGCCAACAATCCAAGTTACTATTTTCTTCTACTTCCTGATGAATAATTACGGGAGAATGTATTTTTTAATTTTGCAATATCATTTCTTTTTCAATGTAATTTTGAGTATTTTATATTTAAATTTATGGGGTGAGTTATATTTAATTTTTTTTTTTGGAAATTTTTCAATTTTTATATTTGTCTAGTCGGATAAAATGTAAATATGTAATTTTTTTACAAATAGTTGAAAAAAGGTCACAAAAGACAAAAAAATAAACACACCAAAATTACAAATAGTTGAAAAAAGGTCACAAAAGACAAAAAAATAAACACACCAAAAAGAAAATACTAAAAAACCTATAACCAAACAATACCTACAAACTTTAAGAAAAAGTTGGTTGAGATTTGCCAAAATAATATGTGACCATTGGAACACCATTATTATAATTTGATAAAATAATACTATTCATTATCAAATTATAACAATAATAATACTATTTCAACAAACATGATTGAAAATACTCTAACATGTCAACATCTCTATCACTAACCTTCTTTTTGCTGCTAGTTTGGATTCTCTACCGCCTTTCTCTGCGGCGCCCCCAAAACGACGTCGTTTTGGGGGAAAATTTCAAAAAAAAAAAAAAAAACGAAAGCACAGAATCAGAGAGAAAGAGGGAAAGAAGATGGCCATCTGTGTCTACCATGACTTACCAAGAACACAAGCTCTGTCATCTTCCAAAATGGCCATGATCATCCAAAGAATAATTTCCCAAGAACACACAGAATAATTTAGACAATCCAAAATGGCCATGGTCATCATTCAAAATGGACATTTTTCCCAAGAGCACAAAGAATAATTTCATAATCATCATCAACAACAATAACTTAAAACAAATAAAAAATGCAGACCCAGAAAAAAAGAAAAAAAAAATGTAGACCCAGAGAGAAAGAAGCAAAAACACAAAGAATACAAAAAATAAACCCAAGAACTGATATAAATGGAATCTACAAACCCAATCAACATAAATGGGATTCACTAAAACTGATATAAACCCAAGAACACTGATATAATTTCATCATCATTATTAACAACAATAACTAAAAAAAAAAAGAGCAAAGAAAGAGAGAGACTCAGATTTGGAGAATCGAATTCTCCAGTCGATTCCCCCGCCGCCACCGGAGCTTACCGTTGTTCGTCGGAGTGATCTCAGATCTGGAGACATGGTGGTCAGGCCAAATCCTTCAATGATCGCCTACTGGTTATAGAGAGAGAGAGAGAGAGAGAGAGAGAGAAGCAATGAGAGAGAGAGAGACGAGCGAGATTCTCAATCGGCAATGACGGAAAGAGAAATAAAGAGTTTGACAGTTTGACGGCGAAGGAGTCGCCGAGGAGAGAGAAAGAACTCTCTTCCTCTGTGCTTTTTTCATTCTTCTTCTCCTTCTCCTCTCTCTTTTCCTCCGCTTTCTTCTTCCCTTCTTTCTCTCTGATTATGTGCTTTCGTTTTTTTTTTTTTTTTTGAAATTTTTCTCCAAAATGACGTCGTTTCAGGGGTGCCGCAGGGACCACCGCAGAGAAAGGCGGCAGAGGATCCAGACTCCTTTTGCAGCACCCCTAACACTTGAATGCTTTTCTTCTCATTCATTCCAACTCAGGACCGTTTAAAACTTTTAAATAAATTATATTTTTTAAACCTTTTTATTTTTAGTGATTTTTTAAAAAAAAAATTATTTCATAATATTTTTTATGAAGTTTTTTAATAAACACCATAAAAAAAAACACCAAAAAATATAATTATTAGCAATCGTCAAGCATCATTTTTTAAAACCACGTCATTTTACTTTAATATTTATGGATTTTTTCTAAGAACTCTGGAAATTATAACATAAATTCCGGAGTTTATTGAAAAACATTGGGAATAAAACTTTTTGTAAATTTTTATAAAAATGTCAGGAAAAAAACATCAAGAAAAATCTTTTTTTTTTAGTGATGAGATGCATTGAATGAAGTAAATATCAGCAATAGGAATAGCCTATTAATTTGTTTTTCTCATCTCTAATTGGTTTTTGTTTGGTGCTTATTAAACTGTTTATAATTTTTATTTTTACTTTTTCAAAATATGTGTTACAGTTTTTGATATGAATAAATTAAATCAGTTAAACATTATTTTATTAAAAATTTAAAAAAAATATATACTTTTATATTATAATTATCAACTTTCAAATAACCAATCACTATAGCCTAATAATACATTTAACATAAGCACAAACCCAACCTAACAATTACTTAACTAAAGTGCATACAATACAACCAAGTAATATTAGCCTTTGAATAAAAAATTATCCAAAAATAAAATATATGAATTAATTTATTTGGAGTAATGTGAGATGTTGACATGACACTAAATAAAAAAATGCATACACACCAAACATTTTATTTTTCAATTACATAACTTCCGTCACCCCACAACCCAAATACTCTATAATTTGGGTACTACCAGGCCTCCTTACACTACTAAAAAAAAATACTTTTGCGACCGTTATAAACCGTCGCAATAATAAAAACAGTCGCAAAGACTTTTTGGCGACGGCCCATGCGACGGCAAATGGGGTCGCGAATGTGGGGGTGGCAAATAGCTTTTTGCGACGGCAAAGCAACGGTTGCAAATTATTTTGCGACCGCCTAAACTACTTATGCGACCGCTTATTTGCCGTCGCAAACAACAAGAAGAAACACTAACATGATTTTGTGGCACCATCTTGTTACCGTTGCAAAAAAAAAAAAAAAAAAAAAAAAAAAAAAAAAAAAGAAAGAAGAAAAAAGTGTAGCGTTAAGCACCCTAGGAATAGCAATAACAAGAATCCAGACAGTATAGAAGTGTAGTTTAATTGGAACATTCATTTGAGTCTCAAATTGGCCATAATGCGTGAAGTTTATTAAAACAATAAAAATTTCGGGAAGAGTTCTTTATGAAAAAATATACAATCGCCAAAACTTGTGCAATCTTCTCATCAATTTTCTTACTCAGGTGTTCTCCACTCTAATCGAAACTGCAATCTTCTCTCCAATTTTCTTTTCAGTTCCACATCAACACATTGCACCTATGCACAAAAATTCAGGCATTAATGAAAATTATTTTTATACTGCCAAATAAAAATTACAATTTTAATCACTCACTATGGGTATAGTGCAATTAGATTGAAAAAAGGTAACATGTCACAATCCAGATTTCAATCTGGGATGCAATAATTCGAAGGGAAAACACTTTAAATTGGAGAAACTCTCACCTTGTCGATAATAGCCTCAACAAGTTCATCAGTTAGCTTCACGTCAGATTCCATCATAATTGCAATCACCATTTGCTTCACCTAAAAGCACTTGCTGTTTTACTCGTAATTCATGAATGAAATTTAAGGAATGTGCACAGTTTAGTATGATAAAAAAAGGTCACAGACCATGAAATTTCACCAAATGAAACTGCAAAAAGAAAAGGGCATCCTTAAACAAGCTGTAGAAATAAAAAGGTCTAAGGAAGGCCAGCTTTCAACTAGTTTTTTTGATATCACTTCTCTTTTCTTTCTGTCTCTCAATGAATACATACATACACAGTTGCCAGAAGAACCAGCAAGTATGAGCTTAAGAAGTATCAGACATAAACATGCAAGTCTATCCTATCCAATTTCCCGAAATCATATGAAAACATATTGATAAACTCTCAATAAAACCATCAAGATTTAATGAGGAATTTTTTTAATTTCTAAACTTTACTATAGTTATTAGCAAACAAGCAAAGGCTTAGTTCAAAAATTTTAAAACAATCAAAATGATGGATGCATTAAAAGATCTTTCTCAAGCCTCTTCAGTTCAGGTCTCCATAAATTTTCAGCATGGAATTTCTCAGCAGAACGAAAGTTTCTTTTCATCATCATCAGCGGCACAAGCAATTAACTAAAAGACCAAAAAGCATTATAAAAAAAAATTTAAAAAAAAAAAACAGTCATTCAATTAGATTCTCAACATTAAACAAAAATTGTCAACTAAAATTTAAAAAACCAATGAAAATCCATCAACACCTTCAACAAGTCTTATTGCTAAAAATTTGTAAGGAATTAAACCAAAATCAAGCTTTGAAGTAGTGTTTGGTTCATTAGAAGTGAAATAAAATGATCATTCCACCAAAATATCAATTATCACATTTGGTTCGCTAAAATATCATGAAAAATACATTATAAATGAAATTATCATTGATCATTTCACAAGATACTAAGAAATGAGCATTTCACTTTCATTCCAATAAACCAAACATTGTATCAATGTCAAAAAGAGAATTTCCAAACAAAATGAAAAAAGAATAAACTAATTACAAATTCATGAACAATTGTGCCCAGGACACAGTTCTTAATGCACTAGCAAGTAATCATTTTGCAAGCTGTTTATTTTATAACAACCACAAGAATGAGATCCAAATTTCAAATTTCTATTATCAAATTAAAACTTAAAAGCATACAATACATATCCACATAAATAAAATCAAATCATGACTTGTTATATGTTTGAATATGTGATGGTAACATTAATAATAACCTTACCATAGCAAATAAATAAATAAATATAAAATATATTTAGCATTTATATATAGAAAATTGTCTCTTCAGTTCAAGTCTCCATAATATTTCCACATGGAATTTTTCTCGGAAGAACAAAAGTTTTTCAATTGATCATCATAAGAGACAAAGATTGACCAAACATATATTCAATAAAACCGATTCAATCGAAATAACAAAGTTGAAAAACCAAAAATCCCAAAACTAGTTGAAGATAGAACAAACAACAACAAAATTAAAGAAGAAAAAGATAATTCAAACCTTGTGCAGGAGACGAATGAATTGAAGATTGCTAGCAATTTATAGAGCCTTATTCATTTTCTTTTGAAGCTTGTTGCCCACTAGATGCATCTGACACCTACAATATGTTAGTATAATGTGTTAATAATTTCCATATGTATATATACAAATTGATAAAACGTAAAATTCGTCAATTTGTAAGTACAACTTTATAGGTGTCAAAATAAACAAACAGTGCATAGGACTTAAAATTTTTTTTCCTCCCCACCAAACAGTACATAGGAGAGATTACAATTCTTGTCTGCCACCAAATGAACACTAGATTCCCATTTCAAATAAACAAACAATGCTTTCATCAATGAAGTCTGTTATGGAAATCATTTTCATTTCCACATCCTTGGAATTGAAAATCCCACCCCATCCATTCAAAAGCATCCTTTTTTGGGTCATAAGATGATTGAACCTCAGAACATTTTAACATGCTTTTCTGAGTCTGTCCCTTGGGTTGTGTTTTTTGTTACTTTTTTTTACTAATAAAGCTTTCTATCTAAAAGAGAATTCAATAATTCTGGCTCAGAGACCCCACTGTAGTGCTGCAATCAGCTACTGCACTTCTTGTTTCCAAAAAGCTACCTTTTAGCTTGAGAAAACTACTATAGATTTACTGTGAAATGTTCTGTCAAATTTGATAAAATGTTTCTAAAAACTTTTTTTAAACACTTTTTTAAAAGAAAATAAAAAAAACTGCTGAAGTTTGGCTCTAATTTTGTTGAAATTTATCCTACAACAAAAACTTTTAAAGAGCAACTTTAGACTCTAATTTTGTTAATTTGGTCCCAAATTAGAACTTATGAATTTAAAATCTCTTCACAAGGTTGCCTAAAGCATCATAACTATAGCACCAATATAATATATATATATATATATATTATAAAAAAGTTATGGGCGTTAGTCTCATATTTATAGGCCTTCATGACTATTTGATCCTGAGGCAGTTTTGGTATTATTTTCAACTTAAGGCTTCAGAAACCACCTAAAGAGATGAAAAGTGATATACATGATCATATAAAATAATATCAATTCTTGAGGTGTGTAATGCTCTATAAAAAGTGTTTTGCCTCTCTCAAATGTTGTGAAGGAAAGAAATTACTAATCCTTTTGGCATTGCAAAATAAAAAAGGAGCTCACTGAACTTTGCCTTCTTTTCATGTTCACTTTTCTCTCACTTATTGTATGGTCTAGATATATTGACTTGAGAAGGAATATTGTTTTGGATATCATGAAATGAAATTGTATATGTTCTTGGTGAAGGTTGCTTGTTTTACTAATCAATTACAAATTAGGTGCTTGTTTTGGGTTTCACAAATTGCCAATTTATGGGACAATTTCTTTTACAGGATATCTGCATGGTTTACCTTTTGCATATGAATTTCAAACAAGACACTGTTAGTGACCATATGAATTTCGTTTTATGTTATCTGTTTTGATTTATGAAACTGCACGTTTGATGAACGTGTATATAAACTTGTGAATTAAAACTTCACATTAGAGACTTGACAATCTTTTTTCAATCCCTCTTCTTTTACAGCTTACAAGACTAGTCTGCATTTGCAGTGGAATTTTCATTGTTAAATCTGATAGAGAAATGTGACTGCAGACTGGTAGATTTTAAGTTAGATTTGCCATGGATAGATAATGATGCATTAGCATTACTCTTCAAAATAGCTAATGATATACATAATCATATGAAATAATATTAGTATAAATTACTACATTCTACGACGAGGCTTAATTAGTTACCTTCTTCATTTGCAATTGCTGGCACTGATGATGATGATGATGATGATGATGAAGAAGAACAGAGAGATCAAACAGAATGAAGATTGGCATTTGAAAACTTTGAAAGTTGTAGTAAGTACTCCTAATTTTAAACCCTTTGGCCACTTGAGAGGCTTGAGCTTTGTCCAAATACTGATTTCTAATAGAGAGAGAATGTGAACGAATCTAAAGCTTTCTTGGTAGAATTTATAGAGGACTGGTCCTTGTGGGAGCAATATACACTAAATTCTAGTTTTAAATGATGTCAGTCGTATTATCATATTCATTTTTATTTATTTATCAATTTTTTATTAATATTCTATGATTAATATTCATTCATAGAATCTGGTAAAACACCAGAAATAAGCCAACAAATTAGCAAAAACGAGATCAATCACCGAAATCATGTCTCTATCTATCTGTATAACTTTAAATTAGCAAAAACAAGATGAATCACCTAATAAATCAACAACACAGATTAAAGAACGATCGAAATCAACACAGAAATTCAGAATAAATCAACACAGAAATTCAGCAACTAGGCATGAAACAACACAGAAAGACAGAGAGTTGGATTCATACATAGAAAGTAGCTTACCAATTATGAATCGATCGAAATCTTCATCAACAGCCGATCGAAATCTTCATCATGTGAGAGTAAGATTCAAGCGAGATTCAAATCTTCATCACGTCCAATCGAAATCTTCATCAAGCGAGAGTGAGATTCATGCAAGATTCAAATCTTCATCACATGAGAGTGAGATTCAATCGAGATTCAAATTTAGTCAAGCGAGAGAGATTTGGACGGTGAGATTCAAGCGAGAGAGAGAGAGAGAGAGAGAGAGAGAGAGAGAGAAAGAGAGAGAGAGTAGGCAACAACAGGAAATGAATGAGCTACACCACCGTTGGAGACAAATTTGGGAAATAAAAGGAGAGATAGTTCAAGGTTTTTTTTTTTTTTTTTAAGTTAAGAACACGATTGGGTTAAATGATTTTGTGATTTTTTTCATGTAAAAAGTGTTTTTTTGCGACGGTTAAATAATCAGTCGCAAAAAAATAGACGCAAAAAGTTATATTTCTAGTAGTGTTATTCTTCTTCTGCTACTGGTGAAGCCTCTTAACTTGAAGGGTTTGCTCTAATTCTCTCCTTTTGAGGAGGATTGGGAGGTTATTTATGTAGAGCAGCCACAACTAGAGGCATATAGATGAGCATACCAATAGAAACAATAGCAATCATTGAAAGAATAGCTCCTTCTGAATAAGGGCTTTTGCAAGACAGCTTTGAAAACCTTTTCTGAATCAGATAAATCATCGAAAGCATTAAGAAGAAAACAACCCAAGAATGATGCGTACACCGACAAGCAGGGTAAAAACCATTTCCAGAACGAGAGTCCACCTTTGGGGTTGAAGTTATCTCGACTGTAGATTTGGAGATGGACTTTCAATGACTTTACGACCAGGCTTGGCAACAAGTACGACGAGCAACTTGGCCTTGTGGGGCTTTGCGTTGCACTTTGGTCGGCTCTCTAGGCTTCGTTGGCCTGGCGTGGTGAACGAAAGTCCCAAGAAAACCGCTATGGAGAAGAGTGAATTAACGTTGATGAGACCGTCCAGTCCATTCTTGTAAATTTCTATTCTTTTTTTTTTTTTTATCAGCAAAAGAAAAAAAAATTATTGATGAAACAAGGAACATATTACAACAAAAAAAGAAAAGGGAAAGATGGGTGCAAAATGCATCATAGTGAGATATATCGATCCCAACTAGATTGGCACCAATATGACCACCTAATCCCTTGCAAGCACACTATTAAGAGTTGGTGAGAAACCAACCAAAGCCAAAGAAGAGAACCAAAAGCAAAATAAAAACACCACCAGAACACACACCAGCACAGTCAGCAGCCGTCCACCACTACCTCAGGGGCAACCACCAGAACAACCCAGCAAACATCCTCAGCAACTAATAAGTCGATTAAGCCAACTCCAGCAGAAACAACAAACCAAGATCATCCCAACATGCTACCAATATAATGGAACTGTGTAACAACCCTCGTCACTGTTTACCGAATAACCACTAATTACCGTTAAACTGAAACTGATTATGATTGATAATTGAACTGATTGAAATACTGAACTGACTGACTGAAATATGGAATTGAATTGACTAAGTATATCTGTTTAACTGTATGTCTATCTGTTAACTGTTTAATTATCTGTTCAGTTTTTATGTTTAAACTGCTAATTGAAGGCCTTATCGGCGGCCGAACCGGAAACCGATTAGTGTTTTATGATCATCGTAATTTATGTGATTTTATGGTGTAGTTACCTGAAAACTGATTAGGTACAATTAAATTAGATTTAAATGAGCTAAATTGCATAGTTGGCCTTATTTACCATTTTGCCACATGAGTGGCCCACACCATGATCAACATTTGAGCCTTAGTGTACACCTAGGCACACTTTTGCTCAGCTCATTCCTTGCCTTTGCCGACTAGAGAGAGAGAGATAAGGGAGAGAGTTGGATTTCATCTTACTTTAGCTTGTGAATTGCTTGGAATTGAAGAAGAAATTGCATATTTGAGCTTCCCTTCCTTGAATTGGAGACTTAAGGTAGAAATTCATCTTCTCATTCTTGTGTTTAAATTGTTTCTTGCATGGTTTAGACCTAGGTTGGAGACTAGAGCCAACTTATGGCTCAAATTGTTGTGTTGAAGCTTAATTGTTGCATGCATGTATATATATATTGAAGTTTTGAGGTTATAGTTCACATTCCTCATATGCATGTCCATGTTTTAAGAGTAGTCCATGATTTCATCATGTTTTTAGAAAGAATTGGCTCAATTGAGCTAGCATTTGAAGCGTTGAAGTGTTTAAATTCATGCATGTTTGCACGTTCTTCATATTCATAGAAATTGGTTTGAATTGGATTTATTTGAAACACCCTTGGGCTTTGATTTTACAAATTGAGCTTTGAATCATGTTAAAGTATCAGTTTTGATGTGTTTTCTGGAAAATTGGTCCAAGAGGATCGAAATTTATGGTTTAAAACTTGGTTTTGAGCTTGAGGTTCAAA